AAAGTTCAAAAGCTTTTGTCTAAATTAAGGTGAATTCATGGGTCCTTTTTCCACATAATGTAACCGGTAGTGTTTATGATAAAAAATAAATAATAATTATGTGATCGGTATTTGTATCGGGAGGAAAAAACCTGATCGGCACATCTCTACTATTTATATCTCTGTCTGATCGAATGATTGCTCCTCAGAATATAGAATACTACAACACGTCTAACACAACTTTATAATTCTGTCTCACTAAACAAAACCACTTCAGTTAGTCCAGAATATCAACCAGTGGACGAGTCATAGTTTTGTTTTGTCTCTTTGTGTTCTACAATCACCTACCAGGAGTTTACCTGCTCAGTAAATATGCCCAGAAGAAGATCAAGGAGGTCCAGGAGAAGGAGGCGAGCGAGTACATAGCCCAGGCCAGAAGGCAGTTCCACTTCGAGAGCAACCAGAGAACCTGCAACATGACGGGTCAGAAGTCCAGATCATTTTAAACGAGGAAAAGTTTCAGGTTTTATGAAGGTGGAGAGGAATTCACAGATTTTGTGTTTTCCAGTTCTGTCGATGCTTCCTCCGCTCAGAGAGGCCATCGTCACTCAGCTCAACTCCGAGAGTCTGACGGCGATGCTGAAAACAAAGTGAGTCACAGCAGATCACCGGTGGCTAGCACTGCTAACTAAACAGCTAGCTGCACTAACACTGCAGTGCTAATCTTAAACATTAGTTCTGCTAATGCTTTTTATGTTTATAGCTTGCTCCTGAATGTTTCTTGTTTGAAATAAAGTTATAGGAGGGAAAAAATATAAACAGAACTGCTGTCTTCCCCTCCTTCAAAATAAGAGCATGAATATAAATGTTCAACTACTTGCAGAATTGTTACCAGTTGATAACCAAAAACTCAACAGCAATATTCAACTGAAAGTTTACAAAAAGGTTTTTCAAAATATCCGAAAAAAGGTTCATTTAGGGAAATTTAAGTACGCTAAACATAGCTTCTCCTTTTCTAGCAAAATATCTATAGCGTTGAGCTAAAATTAGCTGTTAGCACGCTAGTGGAAGTTTGGCCCCCACTGCTGTTCGCTCATCCGCACTTCTGAGTTCACTGCTTAGCAGCCAGAAATGATTCATTTTCCTTCTTTGTTTCTTCTGACAGACCAGCCAACAAGCTGGAGATCTGGGAAAACTTAAAGATCATCAGTAAGAGTTTGAAACGTTTCTCCTGGCGTAAAGCCGAGGAGTTCGATCCCGACGTGGTGTGTGTTCCTGACGGGGTGTGTGTGTGTTCCTGACGTGGTGTGTGTTCCTGACGGGGTGTGTGTGTGTTCCTGACGTGGTGTGTGTGT